CTCAGGTTGGAAGGCACTCAAAGTATGACTGTAGAATAGCTGTTGCTCAAAGTAGAGTTGACCATGATAACACGAATGAAGTAAAGCTTTCAAGACCTTCAGTTTTTGGTGGGGCACAATTCAAAATGAGATGGGATAGCTGTCAATGTCCATGAATAACCAGAACATGGAATCTACAAAAAACGAATATAGGAAAATTGGAAGTCGTCAAAAATGAAATGGAGTACATATTCGTAACATGTAGGTGTTAGTGAGCTGAAATTGATAGGTATTTGTCATTTTGAATCTGACAATCATGTGGTTTATTCTGCCAAGAATGACAAATTGAAGAATAATGGTGTCACATTCATCATTAGAAAGGACCTTTCAAGGTCTGTCTTGAAGTACAATGTGATTGGATAATACCCATGCACCTACAGGAAGATCCGTTATTCTCACTATCATCCATATTTGCGCAGCCACTAAAGCGAATGATGATGAAATTAAAGAATTATACCATGTTTTTCAGTCTGAAATTGAACAAACATGCAATCAAAATGGATTAGTAATTTCTGGTGATTACAGTGCAAAGGTTGAAAATAGAAGAAGGATCAGTGGTTGGAAAATAAGGCCTTGGTGAAAGAAATGATGCTGGAGATCACATGATAGAATTTTGCAAGACCAATGATTTCTTCATTGTAAATACCTTCTTAAACAACATGAATCTCACTAGATGCCATACACAGAAATCAAACGGACTACATTTGTGGAAAGAGATGGTGGAAAAACTCCGTATCATCAGCCAAAACAAGGCCAGGGGCAGACTGTGGAACAGACTATCAATTGTTTATATATGCATACAGAATGAAGCTGAAGAAATTCAGAACAAGTCCACGAGGGCCAAAATAAGACCTTGAAAATATCCCACCTGAATTTAATGTCCCATGCAAGAAATATTTTGCAAAATATAATTTAAAATCTGCTGTAACAGTACATTGAAAGGAAACTACCGGTGCTTCAAGCCAGATTCAGATGAGTCTGTGGAATAAGGAAGGTCATTTTTGACAACAGATGGATCTCGGCTAAAAACAGAGACTAACCGAAAGATATTTATCTGTGCTTTATTGACTGTGAAAAGACTTTCGACTGTCTAGATCATGACAAGTGATAGATAATGATGTGAACAATAGGTATTCCAAAGCACTATGCTCATAAGCAATGTGTACATAGACCAAGAGTTAGTCATTTGAACAGAACAAAAGGACACTGAATCTTGAAAGGTGTGCACCTGGGTTATATTCTTTCATTACAGTTATTCAATTTGTATGCTAAGCAAATAATCTGAGAAGCTGGATCATTTGAAGAACATAGCATCAGGATTGGAGGAAGACTCATTATTAACAACATGAGATGTGCAGATGATACAATCTTCCTTACTGAAATAAATATAAGAGGCCTTAAAATATTTAGTAATGAAGATCAAAGACCACAATCTTTGGTATGGGTTGCACCCATACCAAAAAAAATCTTTGTAAAAAAAAAAAAAAATCTTCATCACTAGACCAATAAAATGAAGTTGTCAAACACTTCATTTTGCTTGGATTCAGTATCAACATGCAAAGAGGTGGCAGTCAAGAAATCAAATGATGTATTGCACTAGGTGAATCTGCTGCAAAAGACCTCTTAGAAGTATTCCTTAGAAGTTAGGATGGGGAGACTTTATCTCTCATACTTTGGTCATAGTATCTGGAGGCACCAATCCCTGGAGAAGGACACCATGCTTGGTAAAGTGGAGGGTCTGTGAAAAAGAGGAAGGCTCCCAATCTTCCTCTTGGCACAATGACAGTAGCAGTGAGCTCAAGTGTAACAACTATTGTGAAGTTGGTACAGGACAGTATAATGTCTCATTCTGCTGTGTAGAGGGTAGCTATGAATCAGAACTGACCTGACGGCACCTAACACACACATTGAATTAATGAAATCATCAGACTTTTCAACTTCCATTTTGTGTCTTAGCTGCTTGGATTTCTGTATTGATAAGTACTGATTCTGGTATTTGTGACCATTTTTAGATTTTAGTTGTTTTTTTTTTTTTAATATCAGTTTTGAGAGAGAATAGATACATGTGTTGATAATTGTCAGCAATAAACTCCATGAAGTCTATATTTTAGAAAAAAACATTGTAACCACGAGTTAGTATATCATAAAAATTATATAAATAATTTCGAAAAAATATGTTTCAATTTTATTTGGTGATTATAAAATTATATAAAAATTATATAATAGGTTGTTATTACACTATTTTGGTAATGCATCTGGAAATTTTTGTGGTTTTTTTGCTAAGTTTAATACAATCTTTTTTACAATTTTAATTACTTAGGCTGGGTCCATATAGTAAATAACCTATGTGTTAAATAGTTGCTTTTTGAAAGATAATTTTTACATGTTGTTGTTAGTTGTCATCCAATTGGTTCTGACTCATAGCAACCCCATGCACAGCAAAACAAAACACTTTCCATGTTGTATCATCCTCACAGTTGTTGTTGTTTGAGCTCATTTGTGTTGCCACTTTGTCCGTCTTTCTCATTGGGTCTTTCTCTTTTATGCTACCTTCCACTTTTTCACTTAGGCAGTTTCTATATTAGGTATTTTTTACGCAAATTATTTCTATTTTATATGCAAAGATTATTCATCATCCTATCACTTAAAAATTATTGAAAATGATAGCGCTCTGGAGTGTGGATAAACTGAAATTCAACGTGTCACATTTTATATTATGTGAATCAATTTTAATATTAAAATTGTTGCTAGAATGGTTATGCTTTGTACAAACTAACTCTCTTAAGTTAGTTACAAATTAGCCTAAGTACAACAAGTAATTTTGCTGCTATTTAATTACAATAATAAAACAAATATTTAACTAAAATTTAAAAGAACTATCAATCTTGATGACAACTCTTTGTCTTGTCAGATTCCTGAATCCCTTTAGGTAAACATCTCACAAGATTGAAGAGCTTTGATATACTATCTTGTCACACTAGAGAGATGCACATCACGAAGTCTTGTTGCTGTTAAGTGCCATCGAATCGGTTCTGACCCACAGTGACTCTGTATAGAGTTTCCAAGGAGTGGCTGGTGAGCTTGAACTGCCAACTTTGCAGTTCCAACCGGCTTTGCAGTCCAGCGCATTAATCCTCAGTTTAGCACTTCAAAATAATCAGTGTCCTTTGTATTCATTTTTAGATTATTTTAATGTAATAGTTATATATAATGATTTGATCATAATTCCAGTCCATTTTGTTGACTAATAATTATAGGAGAAAGTATGGGGGTAGGATGAGAAGGAGAGGTCAAGGGATAGGAAGTTTGGTAGAGATGGGTAGAAGGATTTTGAACAATGTACAGTAAATTAGACAAGTGTAGAAATATAAGAGTCCTGGTGTGGTGCTGCAGGTTAATGCGCTGGACTGCAAGGTCAGTTTGAACCACAAGGTGGGTGGATCATTCATGCTCACTGGTCACTCCTTGGGCACTCTATGCAGGGTCTCTATGAGTCAGCAGCGCCTTGATGACAGCTAACAACACTGTTTTGTATTGTGTACCAGAAAGCTATGTATAACATACTCTTTGTAACATATATTTTAGTACTTTCTATTAGGAAATAAATATGCATCTGTAATAAATTGCACAATAAGCTTCAAAGCTTATTGTCTAAATATGTGCATTGGAATAAAATATTATTTAAAATTCAAACTATCAATATATAAAAGCTCACTCACTGTTTTTGCACATTATCGCTGTCTTTGGACTCTCTCCTGCATCCTTACTACCCAGTTTGTGCATATATAGGACAAGGAAGATTAAGATAGAGAATGTAGCTCACTAGAAACAGAAACTACCAACAATTCAAAGCACATGTTTTACTCCTGGTGACTGAGTAATTCTCCCTTCATAAATAAAGGACAGTTCCCTTATCCATATACATGATGAATATATAAACATAATCGAATTTTACAGAATTTATAGTTATTATTTGACAAGTATTTAATAGAAGAGCATTTAGGAGATATATCAAATATATATGTATATCATTTGTCCAGCTGCATTACATTTTAAGGGAAAACACTCTGATAATATTGTAATTTATATTCCAAGCTTTTATTTTGCCTGCATTCTGTTACACATGGCTTCTAGCCATCCTTATCAAGAGATAAGCATTCTCAGCTCTTGAAAATTATGGTGAATGGATATCAATCAATCTGTTTTCCCTCTTTATATAGACTATAATTCCAGATGGAGCCTGCTGCTTATAAATCTGAATTCCTGCCAAAACAGGGATGTTGAAATTAATTTGGATACTATCTATATTCAGGGAAGTAATTTATATATTCAAATAGTAGTGAGAATCATACACACAAAAATGCATATATATCTGTGTGTATATGTATACACACTCACTTTCTATTTGAATGATAATTTCATTTAAAACTGTATCCAGTGTGCAATTTGGATGGGAAATCAGATGAGGTCATTTTTAGATGAGGTCATGTTGTTGTTGTTAAGGGCCATTGAGGCAGTTCCTACTCATAAAGTAGGCAAAAAGATGCTTACTAATACAGGGCAATGTAAGTTTTCTGGATTCAAATCATCTCACAGTTTTATAGAAATGAAAAACATGTGTTTATTTTGAAAACTGAGACTGGAAATTTAAAAAGAAATATTTTAAAGGTGGTTTAAATATGGTAGTCCTAATCATTTTACGGAGTCCTGGTGTGACACTATAGAATATGCATTGGACAGCAAGGTTGGTTTGCGCCGAAAGCTCAGCAGTTCAAACCCATCAACCGCTCCTTGGAAACCCTATACAGGGTCGTTATGAGTCGGAATCGACTCAATGGCACACAACAACAACAATAACAATCTTTTTATATTGAGTTATTTCTAAACTAGAATACACTGATTTAAAATATTCTGAATGGCGATTCAGGGAGTTGGGCCCCCGGCCACCATCGGCCTGATTCCCGCCCCCGCCATGGCCGGGGACCTCTCTGCGGCCATGTCCTACATCGAAGACGATTTCTACTGCCCTGTCTGTCAAGAGGTGCTCAAAACGCCTGTACGGACCGCGGCCTGTCAGCACGTTTTCTGTAAAAAATGTTTCCTTACTACAATGAGAGAAAGTGGACTACATTGGGGTCCCCTCTGTCGTGGAAATGTAACTAGAAGAGAGAGAGCCTGCCCCGAACGGGCTTTAGATGTTGAAAATATCATAAGGAAGTTTTCTGGTAGTTGCCGATGCTGTGCAAAACGATTAAATGCTATCTCATGAGACATCATTGCAAGTCGTGTAAGAAGTATCAGGATGAATATGGTGTTTCTTCTATCATTCCAAACTTTCAGATCTCTCAAGATTCAGTAGGGAACAGTAATAGGAGTGAGACATCCCCATCTGATAACACAGAAACTTACCAAGAGAATACAAGTTTTTCTGGGCATCCCACTTTTAAGTGTCCATTGTGTCAAGAATCCAATTTTACCAGACAGCATTTATTGGATCACACTGTAACAGTAATCAACTATTTCATATAATTCTGTGACATGTCCTATTTGTGTGTCTCTTCCACGGAGAGATCCTAGCCAGATTACGAGACATTTTGTTAGTCATCTAAATCAAAGACATCAGTTTGATTATGGAGAATTTGTGAATCTTCAGCTAGATGAGGAAACCCAGTATCAAACTGCTGTTGAAGAATCTTTTCAAGTCAACATCTGAAGCTTGTAGACATCTCTACATCTTAGTACCTGCAAGTGCCATCTTTAAGGAGGAAACTACATAAAGTCACCATTCAGTAACTTGATGTTTATATTAATAAAAGTAATTCATTCTATTGTTTAATTTTTTTAAATTGAAAAATAAATGTGGGCCATTTAAACACTTCATCTTGATAAAAATGAAAGTTCAGATGTTAGTTTTTTAAAGCATGAAAAGGATTATTTTTCACAAATGTGATGGTGTAAAGGGAATCCCTGTTGTAACTTTTTTGTTTTATATTGAAATTTTCATTATTATGCTGCTTTTGAAATTTGGAACCGTTTCCTGCATTTATTTCTTTGTACACAGGGAAACACACAGTTGTTGTTGTTAACTGCCGTCAAGTCGGATCTGACCCATAGCGACCCTATACAGGGTTTCTGAGGTAGCACATTCTAAAGATGTGATTGATAATAACCCTACAAATCTGTGACAGTTGTCAAAGTTGCAGAGTGGAAACTTGAAGTGCTAAATGACACAATCCAAAGTAAACTTTTTAATACAGATTCTAGCTGAAGAATTCATCTTTAAGAAAATGGTGTTTATATAATTTTTAGTATTTTTGAAGACCAGTGAGATTTCTTTACTAATTTTATCTCTTTAAAAAGTAAAAGCTCATTATAAATATATTTTCTTTCTAGTATTTGAAGGAAATATCAAAGAAAAATTTATGTATTTGGTGAGCAGTTGGTAGTTTCAATCTTGGTTGTATGGTCAACTATAATTTGTTAACTCAAAATGAAGTAAGCTGGGTAACAGCTCTTTGGCCTTAGAACTTTTCAGTAGCCAGGATTTCTGATTAGCTAAGATAAACTTTTCTTAGAAATTTTCAGTAGGAGATGGTGATACTGTATTCTGAATATATATTTAAATGAAAACTTTATTTCAGTTTAGAAATTCAGCCCTGAAAGTTTGTCTGTACATATTGTACATATGGATAGATAAATTTCCAGATTACATACAATTTCTATTAAGAATGTTTAAAATGAACAATATAGGATTGAAGTGTTTATCTGATATGATTAAATTTTTGTATATCACACACAAAAACCCAGAAAGCACTCAAATGCTAAGTGGTCTAGTTGGCTGCTGTTACACCTTAAAATTTGGCTTTATGTATACACACACACATACACACACACACAGAGTTGTTTATATGGTGCTCATTTGTTATTCTCAAAGATAATGTGTCTTATTATAAAGTAGGAAGACAGATTCTACCAGCCACACTGCTTCACTACTTTTAAGTCAAAACTGGGTTCTTAATATTCACTAATAATAACCATAGAGTATCTTGTACCAGAAGGCCAAAATCCCAGAACAAAGGATAAATAAAGAGTGGATTTGCTGACATTCCATACTAATATACAATGTTTATGCTTTCTTTAAAATAAATAATTAAAAGAATATAAAATCTCAGTAGTTTGATGCTTATATATTAATTTTGGAAAATAATATTCTGAATAGCATATAATCATTAAATACTTTATCATAGGGAAAAGTTACATTTGAAAAAGCATTAACTTTATATGTAAAATTCTTTTGATTTTGCTTACCTGATACATTACTTATTCTAGATCTTGTTATGTGCCATTGAGTCAGTTCCAACTCGTAGTGCATTAAACAGGGGCTGCTAACTGAAAAGCTGGTAGTTTGAACCTACCAGCCACTCCTTGGAAAAGAGATGAGCCTGTTGGCTTTGTAAAGATAGACAGTCTCAGAAACCCTACGTATTAGTTCTTCCCTAGCCTATAGAGTTGCTACCAGTTGGAATTGATTCCCTGGTAATGGATCTTAATCTTTATAGGATAATATCACCAAGTCTTTTCTTTCTGTGGAGCTGTAGGGTGTATTTAGCAGTCAAGCACTTAGCCATTGTGCTACCAGGGTTCTTTCTTGTTCTAGAAGAGTGCCTAGTATGTTGTTGTTGTTAAGTGCTACAGAGTTGGTTCTGATTCATAGAGACCCTGTTGGATTTCTGAGAAGAGACTAATGGGTTTGAACTGCTGACCTTGCTGTTATCCTATAGTGGTATACCAGGACTCCACCTAGTATGTTTGTTTTTGATAAGTGCTGTCGAGTTGGTTCTAACTCATAGAGCAACC